TTCATTCATTCATTCATTCATTCATTCATTCATTCATTCATTCGATTTATCTCCGCCCATCTCCCCCTAATGGGGGACTCTGGGTGGCTCATATAATCCATTAAAACAATAAATATATATAAAAATATATATAAAATTACAAAAAACATAAAAAATATACAAGCTATATTTCAGGTTCAATATTTGACTTGGGGAACACAAAGAAATTTTTGGTTTTCTCATATCACAGACTTAAAGTTTATGAGCAGGAGTTTCCAGCCTGTAAGTTTGGCTGCTAAAAGCAGCTTGCTTAAGAGTTTACAATGGCCATCATAGGACCATAGAGAGTGACACTGTAGTAGTGCATATTGCATAGCAATTGTTTCTTTTTCAGTCTCAAGCCCTCCAGATGTGTTGTGCTTAAATTCCCAGGCAAAGTCCAACATGTATGGAAGACATCAGATTGGAGAAGGCTGATGCAGGAAGTCCTGTTGGACTTTAGGGAACTTTGTTGTACAGAGTGGGTGCAAACAGTGGAAGGAGTAGTATTCATATCAATCTCTTTCTCTTCTCCTATATCTTCCATTCCAGGTGGTGGCTTTGGGTGGGATGATGACTTTTCTCTCATGCCTATGAAATCGCCTGTCCTGTCCTCATTGGCTTCAGAGGCACCTGAGGACGGTCTCCCCGGACTGCCACCCACACCAGGACCTGCTCAGAAGCAGGTGCTACCAATCCAGTTTTCACGCTTCACAGTCTCACCTGCTGCAGTATCACGGTTCTCCATCACACATGTCACCGACTCAGAAGTTGAGCCCATAGGAGGTAAGGTCCATTCTGACATTACAACAACTGCAGAACAGAGTGACCATAATGAGGAATGGTAAGCCCAAAAATCTACAGAAGTTTTCTGTTCTTGGGGCAAGCACTGGAAAGTTCATATGATTTAGTGTAGGGATCTCATGATTAAAGCCAGGAAATAAAAAATAATATTGAAACTCTGGATGGGAAATGGAGAATTGTTTTGAATTGGTTACTTTTAAACTGCATTTAATCCTGCCCTAAGCAGGGGCCTCTTCCAATTCTTGGTTTAATCACACTTTAAACTCAGCATGAGGATTTATTTTACTGAGGCCACGTTTATGTGAAATTATTTCAGTTTTCTCAATTTTTTTAAAGAGACGGTTGCAATATATGCGGCACTAGATTAAAGGAAAGGAACAGCAATGTAGAAGAAGCAATTGGCAAACCACTTCCATAGTGTTGCCGAGAAAACAATGTAGATGTGTCCATACAGTCACCAGGAGTCAAGCTTGACTCAAGAGACCTTGATTTGTGTTTTTTTAGCAGCAGTATGGAAATTTACCTTTTCCTAATCCAGAACCATTCATTCATATGAATGTAGGATGTTTAGGACTCTTGTTCCACACTTCCAAGGTTTCTCTGCCCACTAAAAGGGTATATTTCTCATTTGGATAGAAGGTGAGCTGGCACAAATCCTTGGAAGGTAGATGACTTGCCCAAGGAAACTGGGAAAGAAACTTTACCCCAGTTCTTAAAATGTATCTGAAAAGGACAGAAGACGTGAATCTCTTTTACAGACATGCTACTAAGCGTCTGTTCATGTGTCAAGCAGAATATCCACTGTTGGCATACAGCTGAATTCAAGCTGTCCATGACTTGCAATCCTGAGGCATCTGGAGGGGGCCAGATGTGTTAGGAAAGCTAAGAATGCTACAAGGAGAAGGGGCTCCAAGGCCTCTTGCTTGTGCTGTTGCAATTTCTAACAGCTTCTTCCCTTTTCTAGGCAACAGTGAAAATGGCAACAGAGAGTGACCTTGGCTATCTCTTCCTTTTGGACTTCCCACCTTGCCCCCATGGCACTGGTTTCTGCATCAGGGCACAGGAGTACAGATTGAGGCCCAGGACCTGGCTGGAGCAGAACTCTACAGGGCCTCATGCAATTTTTTTAAGAGGCAGATTTTATTGGACAGATCTTGACTGCTGCTAGGCTGGAACCACAAGGTGGTTCGTGATGGTTGTGCAAACATGAGTGTGTGTGTGCATGTGTGCATACACAAGAAAGTGTTTGTGTACAAATAGACATATATAGACATATAGAACCTATAGCATTTAAAGGGTAGATCTGTGACCTTGCTAACATTGCCACATAAGCCATTTTAATACTCCTGTCCCTAGCTCATGCCTCTTGATGTTCTGACCCACATTGGCTTCCCCAGTTGGGGCGCTGCCATGAGACATCCTCTCCCTGCCTGTTCTGTGAGCTTGTCGTGTCTTCTTTCCACACCCTACAGGGGATATTGAGAGAGCACGTAGCCTCGCACCTTGTGCCATTCAGACATGCTTCAGGTGGGTCCTCAAGCACTGGTACTTGCGCGTTGCCCACAGCGGGTAGGCGCTCCTTGTCCTTCCTCCAGTGTGCTGTGTCCGAAGATCAGGTGGAGCTGATGGCCCAGGTAACCCAGTAAATTACCGGAAAAGCCAGAGAAAAGGGTAGGCCAAACACCAGAAGCAGGTAGGGGAGCCAGCTGAAGCGAAAGTCACATTTAATGTTTTGAGCAGGGAAGGCTCCTGAACTCAGCAGCCATTCCCCCTTTTTGCTTATGTTTTTCACTGACCCTGGGTTGCTATTGCTCAGCTGCATCATGGTTAAGGAGCTTGCTGTTTAAAGTTGTTCCCCCCCTACCCCCTTTTGGGAGTCAGGGCCTTGTTCCAGCTACTCAGCTCTGCTAAAGGCCTTGCCTTCTGTTATGGGCAAGATCAATTTGAGCAGCGCAGAAGTGGTGCCTTGATGGCCTTCAGCACTTCCCATTTCTCTTTCTTGGCCTGGGGAGAAATATGTCCTGCAGCCTGTCTCACAGGGGGTGGGATGGGAGGAAGTACAGGAAATAAGAAACAAATTTATTTAAATGCTTTGCTGGCTGGGAGAGACTGTGGTGCTGAGATCTACCAATGCCACTTTCCCATTTTCTGTCAGCTTCATCCTTTCCCTGCTACAGCATAATTTGGGTAGTGCCTCCCTAGAGAGCCATGATGTGACCTGCTGGGAATGTGAGAGAAATGTCAAGTCTTGGGGGTGGGTTTTTTTTCCAACTTCCCTTTGTGACCCTTCGAGTAATTCATCTGCAGGAAGAGACTCCTGGCAGATGTACAGCAAAAGCAGATCAAACTGCCACTGAGACTATTTTTGTACAAAGTTTACCCTTTGCTGTATCTCCTGCCCTAACAGAGTGGCAGGCTTAAGTTATTGTTGCCAAAGAGATGTAAAGAGTTAACTTTTATTGAGCCGTCTTGGGGCAAGGGGGGTGTAAAGGAAAATACTACATTTTGGGATTATTTTGTTTGTTAGATTTTGATTAGTTTAAGGTTTAGGATAATTGTGCAATTTGGACCATGGGGAAAAAGGGAAAAGCGTCAGGGGAGTTGTGGCTTTTGGGGACTATAGACCAGTCACTGGCTTTGGAAACTGAGGGCCAGACAGACAAGTGCAAAAGGCAGCTGCTAGCCACTGGGCCATTTCCTCATTGGGTCAGAGGAAACGCATAGAAGGAGATCTTGCAGAGCTGCAGAACCTCCCTGCATTATGCTCCATTGTGCTTTCCAGTTTAGGTTCTGTTGTAGCTACAGGTGGCAAGCTTGGCACTGGAGCTGATGCTGGCCTCTCTTCTTTGGCCGATGAGCACAGCTTTCATTTTCATGTATCCATAAACATAGCCGTGTGTAAGGCAGCGATTCACTATCCCTCTATCAGGCAGTGTTCAGGTGATAGTGACATTCAGGTTTTCTTGCTTACGTTCTCCTGCCACTGCCACTCGTCCCTCCATCCACCTCAGTTCTAGCCAGCTGGAGATGTGTTTAATAAGGTGAAATTCTAAGCACAGACTTAGTGGAACAAGAAATCTTTGAGATGCTCTATGCTTTGAGCCGGTTACGTCTTTTCCCATAGACAGAATACTTTGCGTGTCTAACATTTCTGCTAAGATCCCTTTTTGAGTTCTGTTGTCCTTGCCCAAAGTGGTATTGGATGTGAATGGTTACCATGATCCGTTCACAGCCTCCTTGGGTGGTGATGTGCATGCATTTTGCTCCACTCCTTCTGAAACCCACTATGGGCAATACGGATGCTGCAGTCTCATTTCTCCTGCTGCTGGTTGGTGAACCCAAATTAATAACGCTTGTCCTTCCTTGGACTACCATATATTTCCTTACCATTAGCATGATCAGAACATAACAGCCTGCTTGTTTGTGGGCTTAGCCCAATGACAGGGCAATCCTACCTGCTTTTTTGGAGAGCTCCTGAATCCGAGTCCCTGAGAAAATGAATACCCTACCAGGCTCCAGCATGGAGCTGGAGTTAGGGACATCATTCCTGTTCCTTCTTGGCCTTTTCCCTTACTTGTTTAAGGGCTGGTTTAAATTTGATGCCAACTTGGGAAGGAGGCAACACTGAAGAACCATGAGGACCCACACCAGCAGATACTGAACCCAGAGGCTAGGGAGAGCTGAAGGGAACCTCTGCATATTTTGCTGTCTGCAGTTTGCCCACCAACATCAAAGGAAAGACAGGATTACTTTTCCAACTTGAACTGCGCACGTTCCAGAATTTCAATCCAAGCAAGTCCTTCTGTCCAATTGCTTTGGAAAGAAACGTGTGTGAACTGTAGTTGTTTTCCAGTGAGTGTAATTTATTGGCCTCTGTGGGCTGAATGCACTTTCAAAATACTTCTCTATGTTACAAATCAATTTGGGAGCAGCTGGGATGTATGCCATGGCACAAGGGTTTAGTGGAGGTCTCCTTCTTTCTCCCCTCATTGGGTGTAGAACACATTAGCATCATCTGGAAATGGAAACTGGGGGTCTACATTTCCCCACCCAGTCTCCATCCTTCTGCAAGTGATGGCATATAATTTCTTGAGCATTCAAAGACTGGAGCCTGGGTTGGTTAGGACAGGCTAAATGAGGAACAGATACAGTCTTGGCCTCTTGCCTTGGTAATGGATCTGAGTAAAGAATAAGAGTGTACTGGACCTCCAGGTGGTTCTTCTTCAAACATGCAGCTCGCTACCTGACTACCCCCTTTATGGTGGGTAAATACTGTGGTCAGAAATAATGTAGCCACTGAAATTCTTAAAAGATTAACCAATGAATAGAGTTCTTGATTTTCTACAATATACCCAGAGTTCCATTTCTCTACCCAGTTATAGTTTAGAAAAATCCACAGGTACTTGGAAAGACCAGGCTTGTAAGAAATCCCAAGCCCCAGTAAATCCAAGAACAAACAATTAAGGTGCATACATGTGATTCCTGCTCATGTCTTTGTTTCTTATTGGTAAAATGTTATATATATTGTCTATGAAATTGCTCCTACATTACTTACTATCAGCAACACTTTGCAAAGTGGATTCCAGCCAGAGCAGAGCTGCCGCACTGTGCCAAAAATTAGGACAAACAATTACAGTTGATTATCCCTTTGTTTCTGGCTCAAGAATTCTCCATAGTGATGACAGATGCAAAAAGGCAACCTGGAGAAAGTCTGCTTTTCTTGCTGGGTCAACTGGTTTAATTGCTGAAATGCACAATCTCCCGTTACTGTCCTAATATCTACCCTAGGGCAGTGGTGAGGAATCTATGGCTTTCTTAGGCTACCAAACCACAGCTCCCAGCACTGCTCACCATGGGATATGCTGCCAGGGGTTGTAGTTCAGCAGCATCTGGAAGGCTACAGGTTTCCCACCCTTGTCTGAGGAGCTAGTATGTTGCCCTCTGAGGTACTGCGCCTGTTAAAAACCAAGATGCTTTGGGGGGGGGGGGGGGGAACTACATTTTCCAGTGGGATCATTCTGTTTCCATAGTCACAGTAATCTAGCATAAAACTCCCGCTGATAAAAAAAAAAAGGGAGAGATTATTATAATTAATTTCTTCCTTTCTTTGCATTCTCAGATCATTTTCAGAACCTGGAATGGGAAGAAGAGTTGGGGACTTAATAGGCAGAAGTACTGGGGAATAAAAGCTGGATCCATCCATAGAATGAATCTTTGTTCACTCATTTTATACTGGGCATCTCTGTGATGCTGTCACAACCCACCCACCCCTGCTCTTTTTTCCTGTTTCTTCCACTTCTATTTGGACTTTACAAACATCACAAGTGAACTTCAACTTTTAATGGTTTTGACATGTGCTGTCACTGCACTGATCTGTTTGGCACCATGCTATTCACTTTCATAGATGGACAGATGAAAAATTGCACTAAAATGCACTTTCCCCGAAAATGAATAAAAATTGAGCAATAACTTGAATTAAAAAGCACTTTACTCCCAATTTTAAAAAGACTAAAGGGGGAGGCTGCATTTTTGTTCTCCTATCCATATAGCTTTATGTACATGTACCTCCTTGTACATGTGAAGTACTGCAGAACGTGCACAGGCTGATAAAGTAGGATATCAGTCAATGGATAGAATATTTTTGCTGAATGCATCAGCGACTCTAAACTGGTTGGAGGAAAGCTGATCTTTTTTTTTTTTTAGTTTTATCCCGCCTTTATTATTTTTATACCTAATACTCCTTCCTCCTCCTATTTTCCCCGCAACAACAACCCTGTGAAGTGAGTTGGGCTGAGAGAGAGTGACTGACCCAAGGTCACCCAGCCGGCTTCCATGTCTAAGGCGGGACTAGAACTCTCAGACTCCTGGATTCTAGCCTGGCACCTTAACCGCTAGACCAAACTGGCTCTCGGTTTGCAGTCGATCAAATGGAGAGCTCTGAGCTCAGACACAGCTAGAGCTCTCCTTCCTTTGGGCTGTATCTGTGGTCAGAGAAAAAGGTGTGACGTGGGTGCACTCTTTTGTCTACAGTGTGAAGCTTTCCATTCATTGAGCTGAGCTGAGCATTTGAAGAGGTCTTACCTGAGTATTTTTGCATGCAGCAACAATTGATTAGTACCAGCAGCCTGCAGTCTGGGAGTACCCTATGTATTTGGGACATAGTTCTCATAGTTCTGCATAGTTCCCACCATTCATCTTACATAACTGGAGAACCAGTAGAATGTTATCCAGTAGAGTTCTGCATTTGGGAAATGTGAGTGATATGCCAACAGCCATCTGCACTGCTGTAGCTAGTGGAAATGTGCCCCCCACCCCCACAGGCGAGGGATCCCAGGGCTTTACAGATATTGTCATTCCAACTCACCCTTGCATTTGGACATAAAAGCTACCTTATCATTGCAAGGATAAGCTTAAATACCTGAGCTTGAGGTATTTAAGGATAAGTGTAAAAACCTGAAGACAGAGCAGTTGTAACTTCATCTGCTAAGATTTCCAGTGGCTATTTCTGCCTTGAAATAATGTGCATGTACTGTACATGCCAATTAACATGCATTTACCGTCAGTTTGTGTTATATTCAAATCAAGCAAGAATTTATGGAGCATGTACGGCTTGGGCTTCTCTGATACTCCGAGGAATGCAAAACACTCATTAATCCTTTCTGCTCTGGGGTGTGTTGTTTCCCCCTTTGGCATACTCAGCCTATTGTTTCCTAGCCTTGGTTCTTCCCTCTGCAGAGTGCCATTAATTAACCCTGAACTAGCATAATTTGTGGACGGCAAACAAGGCTGTGCTACATAAGCAGCCAAGATAGCTTGGGGTGGTAAGTGGGTAGAGGTGCCTGGGAGTGCTCCTGTCCAATATTGATTAGCTCTGCTGGAGCGCTCCACAAGGCTCCGAGCCACAGCAGGCAACAGCTGTAGAGCAGAAACGGAAGAAGCTGCAGCATTTGCAAGCCACCCCCCCAGCAAAAAATGTGAAAAAAGTGCATCCTGTAAGCTGCAGACATAAACCTAATTGTGGATAACAAGGGAATCTCTCTCCAGTTCATGAGTGTGGTGGAGAAGGATTTGGATTCTAGTTCTGAAGTGTTCCAGTGTCAGAAAGAGCCAGCTGGAAAGACTAACAGGGAGGCAGGAGGAGGAATCTGACCTAGAGTTAAGATCCATTTCTGAACAAGAGAGGGAAAATTGCCATATAGCCACGCTATATGGCAGGATGCTGTCATTTGGACAACACTGAGCTTGACTAAAGAACTATGGTCAGTGTTGGACAGTGGCACCATACAGGTACGGTGGGGACTGGAAAGAAAGAGTAGGATGCCCACATGCCAATCTGCCTTTCCATGATACATAGAAAGTGAATTTTGCAAAGTACAGATATGCAAGTTGCAGGATTCACACAAATACAGGACTTAGATTTGTTTCAAAGAGTGTAAAATACTCTGTCGTCTGTTCTGCTGCTGTGATGAACGAGAGACTAGAGCACAAGATGGCTTTAGGGAAAGATGGTAATAAGCAAGTGGGGCATACTAGATCTTAAGGGTCTCAGAGCCCAAATGACAGTCCTCCCTCCTTTCCTGCGACATATCTTAACTTGCCACAAAACAGACATTTACAGCAAGAGGCTCATCTAAATAGGTGCGTGCAAATGCCTAGAGACCAAGCAGGCAAGGCTCTAAAAACCTCCTCAAGTTGGAGAAGACTGTCCATTATTGCATTATTAACTGTAAAGCAACAGCTTGGAAAAGTGGTTGGAAATTAATTAATGTTGGCTACAGAGCTGTGCGGTTATTTACCTCTTGGGCAGATTAATCCAAATCTAACATTATTGGAAAAATGAAAAGAAAACCATCCTCCAACAGATACTTTTATCTGTGAATAAGATGCCTCTTGAGAAAATAGCAAATTTAATGCCAGGGGCACTGTTATTCCTTATTTTACCATGGGAAGATATTTGGGAATGAGAATTGAGAAGAAAAGCAGCCATGGATAGAACTGCTCCTTGTAGCATTAACTAGTATACATTTGAGGCAAAGCTCAAGGAGATTTCATCAAGAAAAGGTAGGTTACTGTTGAGTATTTCCAGATTGTTGGGACCTCTCTGAGTAAATCTCATTGGTTCTCAAATCCTCCTGAAATATTCTGTGTAGATGTCCTGCACCTGCCTGGATTTTCAGAAATTAGATGACATTGGTCCAAATTGGTACATGCAGGAGTGATGGTGCTGGCATTGGGTAGTTGAATGCTGCACCCATGCACCTGGAGGGTTTTGTGTGCGTGCGTGTGTGTGTGTGTAGTCTCATCCCTGAATGCAAATTTGTCAGCTACACAGTGTGATTCTAGCTTGCCGCTGCCATATTCCAGTTTCAAAGGCAAATACAGAGCCAGTACCATGACAAAGGAGTAGGTTCAGGAAATGGTAAGTAGCTACAGTCCAGCTTGCTCTCTACTCTAATTTCCTTATATATTTACATTCGAAAAGGCTGCCCCTATAGGTGTATGGTCTATAGTAACACAGCTGTCAACCCCTGAGAGACTGCATGAGGTCAGATCTAGAGCTATGTTTTGGGTCATGATTTTCTTTGAAACAGAGAGAAATAGAGAGGGGTGGGCTATTTACAGTGTATTTTATTGATACGGGTCATAATTGCTGTATTTTTTATCAGTGCTGATTTCCATACAGCTCCCAGCATGTGTGTCAAATACCATTGGTCCAATAACTATAAAAATAAAACATTTTTAAAATAACGTAACTTTTGCTTGCTCTCCTCCTACATCTGTGCTTTGAAGACAGCAGGAAATACTGAAATTATGGATGGTACTGATTCACCCAGAAGCCTTGAGAGACAGATCAACCATGCAGCACAGTAATGGTTTGGGTATAAAGTGACCCACCCTTTCTTGACAAAGGCTCTTAGGCTTCAGGTATTTAAGCTAGAGCAAAAACTGAAAGAAAATGGAGAGATTCAGGAAAATTGGCACCTGCTGGATATTATGATGCCTGGGCTGCAAAAGAGGGACCAATTTACCGCTGTGAGAAAGCTGAGATTGGGCTATGCAGGTCAAGCTTTGTGGAGGAAAAGGAAACACCAAGCAGGCATCGGGGTTCGTGTTACATCGGTGGGCACCTCCTTAGATCAAACACTGCTGACTTATGAGCCTGAGAGGAGAGGCAGTTTCTTGGAACAGCTGCCAAGAGGGGCACCATGCGTACCCAGGAGTAGTTGCAATCTCCTTTTCCTCTTCGGAGCCAAATCGCTACACAGCTCTAATAGCTATTACTTCTGTGGATGGGGTGAAACAAGTTGTTTTCCTTCTGCAGTTGATATCAATATCACAAGAGGCAAGAATGTTCAGTAGCTATTTTCAAGAAATCATGGAGGCATGTCCTGGACACTATTTAACAGTCAGACTTAAAATCTAAAAACAAAACTAGGTTGGTTGAACTTGCTAACCCAAGGCTATGACTATTTCTCAACTGGGTAGGAATAAAACATGGAATACAGCCAGCGGATGGGAATTATACAAGGACTCATTTTTAAGACGGGGCAGCCCTGACTTGAAATTTTTGTGACTTCCAACTAAGAAATAAATTATTCTTCTTTCCTACAGCTATGTAAGTTAGGCACCGAGATGTGGGCTCTAGCATTATTTGGATTTTGGCGTGGAGGCTCTTTAACACCTTCCTGTGACATTTGGTGTAATACAAAAGAAAAGGGTTTTACTTCATTTACCTAGTTCCTTACCACAATTTAATGCCAAGAACCAACCCTTGTTAAAATGTCCGATCCTTCTCAGATTTCAATGCAAGTTTATGGGTAACTGACCAGGGGATGGGGGGTGTTCAGTATTTTGCATTTTGGAATTACGATTAAAAATACCGCCATGCTCATCTGTAACCACAAAAAGACACTGCTGCAGCATTTTTGAAGGCTAGCTTCTCTGCAGGAGGCCAAGGCTCTGTAACTATAAAACAGCTCATGCACTGTACTCTCTTCTAATAGGAGGACTCCAGAGCACCAGTTCTTAGAATATTACTTCACTGCTGTTATCAATAGCAGGCATGGCAAATGCTCACCTAGGATGGTAATGAGGGGAGAAGGTAATGCTCATAGTTCTATGTTATTCACTGGCCACTGGTCCGTTCTTTTACTGTTACTAAAAGCCAGCCTCTGAGTGCTAGTCATGGTGGTTGCTGATTGGGCTGAAACTAGGTACTCTGATGCCACAAAACCTTTACTAGTCTACTGCTGTTTCTTCTTCTAGCACCAATATTAGAAGTCACAGGGTACTTCCCCATATCATGAAATAGGCTGTGGCTGTGACTAGAGTTGTGTCTGCTTATTCCCAAGATGCACTACATATACCAGTTTGTTCCATTTTATTTATTTATTTGAATTGATAAGCTGCCCAGCTTCAATGGAGTCTGAATTCCAATTTTAATTGAAAGTGGAAGGTGTACACTGTACCCTTATCACAGCACACTAGAAATTATAGTCTTAGGCACAGATCATTTCAAACCTTAATTTCATACGGTCAACTTGAAGGTTAAGGGGGTCTTGTAATATTGTTCATCTGGGAAAGTTAGTAACCAAGAAATGAAGTATAGGCAGCACAAAAACACCATAACACCACCTCTGTCCAGGAGAAACCTCTTTTAATCTTCAAGCCCTAACAAAAGGGACTCTTGAAGAGCATGAAGCAGATCTAATGACACCATCTAAGCCAGCTTTCCCAACCTGCTGCTCCTCTCATGCACTGGGATTACAATTTCCAAAATTCCCAGCCACATTATATGATTCGGTTGAATTGCTCAGATGCATTCTCAGCTCTTTTAGCACTGTGTCAACTTTTACTTATAGTACAGTAACAGCTTCCCATTCATTACATGCTCCCAGACCTGCTTAAGATAAATTAAATATTTCAAAGAGGAAGATATGGCAATTAGGGTGGGGAGAAGGGTATCAAAAAACCAGTGAATTTTAAAAGTAATTATGGTCAACCTTCCTTTGAAAAACATTTGCATGTGGACCCTCTCCCTCATTTGTTACTGCCAGTCTCTACCCTACCTGTGAATGGAAGAAGAAAGGCAATATTAGGCTCCATTTTCTGGTATCTCCTACAGAACACCTGTTCCCACAAACAGTCCCATTTTCATATAGCACTGGGTACCTAAAAGAGTGAGGCAACACAAGACAAGCCTCAGCTTGCCCATACCACTTTCTGATCCTTGTGATAGTACCTCTTGCAAGAGCCAATGTTTGTTTGGAAATCCTTGCCTGTGTCCTTTCTCCCCCATTCATCCAGGAGCTGACAGATGCAGCACCATCACTACCCCTGTTAATGTTGTGAGCCCCATTTGGCAAGCTAGGGTTCCTATTTTCCTTGAGTCATCTACATCAGAGTTTCTCAACCTTAGCAACTTTAAGATGTGTGGACTTCAGCTTGCCAAGGTTGAGAAACACTAATCTAAATAATTCCACAGCAAGGCTACACTGCTGGAAATATTTCATAAGGAAGGACCTGGTTTGATACAGGAGCAAAGAAAGGAGCTAAGAATCAATCTTCCTCCTTAAGGAAAAAAAAAACTCAAAGTAGTTTGGCAAAGTTTAACTTTTTAAAAATGCATATATATATTTATATAGATTCACTGCCATTTTTCAAAATAGTACAGTGTGGCTGAGAAACCTCATTATACTTATGTGAACAAAGACCATGAGGTAAATTATTCAACAACAAGAAAAATGATTCTCAAGAAAGGAATGTAGTAGAAGAAAGATACACTCCAGCAAAAAAATTGCAATTGTAGCACATGCCATTGTGTGATTTGAAAACAAGGCCAGTGAGCTTTATCTTTTAAATAATTTTCTTTAGGATTGCAACCTTAGTTAAGACCAGCTACTGACAGGTTTTCTGAACTATCAAGATTAGAGATTTTCTGTAACTGGTTTTTAGCTAAATTTCTTTATATAAAAATATAGATTTTGAGACATCTATAGGAGTCCATCATAAGCCACAGGGAAATGTACAAGTCATGATGGAAGTGCTCCCCAACAGAAAACCACAGAAGTCTCCAAGCTTGCATGAGAGACTTAAACTGGATCCACATAGCATGCTAAGCCAGTTATTTAACTTTGGTTTACTGAATAAACCACAATGGTTGGGTTCACTCAACACATTAAGCCAGACAATACAATTCTGGGCTAAGTGTATCATAGAAAACCAGCCTTAATGTTTTTCAGAAACTGAGAGGAGAGGGCACAGAAGCTAACTATGATCAAGTTTGAACTTGAATTATTATTTTAATGGTGGGACTGGGCAACTTCTATTCCAGACAGCTGTGACTTTTAAAAAGCCACTGGAAAAAGCAAAGCAGCTGGAAATGACTTCAGGATAAGCAAAAGACCATATGGGACAGGCTGTTTAATATCTGGCCAAAGATCACACCAAAAGCTTTGCCACTTTTAGAGGGGAAAAAAAAAAGTTATTATCTTTTCTCTCTGAGGGGAAAAAGCAGCAGCTAGATATAGATTTTATGCAGTTAGATGGGGCTACTATTAGGTAGGACAAGGCAGAAACTGCATCCAGCAGAATTCGCTGGGGTTTGATCAGTAAGAATTTAAAAGACAGAATGGGCAATGGCACAGGAACAGCACACAGGTCTAAAAAATTGCTAATTTGCCTCTATCACTCCATATTTGAAGTCAAATGTATTTTAGGAATTATTTTTGCACTGCCCATTATTGCTAGACTCTGGTGCTATAACTGGAATTCAAACAGTAATAGAGCTCCAAATGGTGGATGGGTCCTGTTCCATTTTGATAACTGCTGCTTCAATAGCTAACAACTATTCATTGACCTTGTGTTGTATAAATATACATACAGAGCTGAATGGTCTACATTACAACTTAACAGACCTTGACAGCCAATAGAACAGAACATAGTAAGAAAGCTTACATGACTGAATTAACATCTACTTTAGAAGGCTTACTTAAAGAAAATTTTTAAAAAATAGGAATACAGTATTGGCTTAGTCATAGAACAAGGACCTTTCAAACAGCATGGACCCAATACCAAGGTAGAGGTCAGGCTGTCTAAACCAACTTGTTTTGGCATCAGAGGACACACCTGCACCAGTCAAGATGTGTCAGTAAGAAGACACTGCAAAGCGAGTTTGGGCATAGTAGGAATTAAGTTAGCTTTGTAATGGGGAGTGGGGGGAAGAGTCCCACCCCAGTCTATTTGAAGCTACAGTGAAATGAAACAAATTTGCAAGCAACAGATGGTGCTAGTTGCACACAGAAAATATTCCTTTCCTGCATAACACTCCCCAACTATCTTAATGTGGGAGAAAATGTATATACGATAACTTGATCATCATTGGGCCTTGCCACTTAAGGATCACAGGCAAGCACGATGATGTATTTGAGGAGAGATGGACCATTAATAAAAATTAAAGTGTCAAATTAAGGCAATTGCTTTGAGGAGCCCAGCTCTTCTAAATGTTGATACAGTAAAATTTTTACTTTACTTTTATCCAGCAAAAGTCCCAACACAAGGTAAAGAAGGAGCTATCAGGGAGCCCTTAGGAGATTCAAGTCCAGGTCATAGGCAGTTCTGAGTGTTGAGTGAGCAGGACTAGGGTCGTGCATTTCATTTCATGGCACTAGGCAGCTCCAAAGCTGCTCTTGACAAGTCTGAAGTCCTATTCAAATCCATATGCTTTGATAGAAGACGAAAAAGGACTTCCAAGAGAAATTTTAACTGGCAAATATATAGGACACTGCAAAACAGCAAGGTTCAGCTATCTCCTTGGCTATTCTTAAAATGTTTATGACTGTTGCATATGACTGTAGAGGCGAAGAAGGCAGGGCCTGCTTTTCGGTCTATCTAGGTCTCCACTCAGTATAGCAGCGTGGTATCACAAGATTCATCTCTCTCCAAGGGCCAAGTTTCTCTTCTGTTTCTAATGAGCAAAAGGAAAAGCACGCCAGCATCTGCTTTTCAAGGAGAGGGGCTAAAACACCATTTAACTACCAAAACAGAGTTGTGGGGAAAGACATGTAAACTGTACAAGGACATCACAGAAATACAACACAGGTGAAAGTGAAATAAAAAGGTGCAAGGTACCCGCCATAACCCAACATTTCTGGATCAGCTGATGAGAGGAGCTGAACGATCATTTGTCACAGTTGGTTTGAGTTGGACATTGGCAAAAGGGTTCCTGTAGAGAGAAAGCAAGGCATGGTTTTAGTGAGAACAGTTAAGTGGTCTGTACCAAGGACAACAAAACAATGTGGAATGCAGGGATGACGCAAACACAAAACAAAGATCACTACGAAAACAGTTCCCACCACAGCCAAAGAAACATCCATGTCTTCAAGCACAAAACAAACAACACCATGAATCTTTAAACAATGGCTTTGCTTGGAAAATATCTTTGGCCTAAATGCCAAGTCTCAGTGACAAACTATTTCAGTGTTTGCCTTCTCCAGCTGATCTTAAATGCATGGAAGACTGTCTAGAACAAGGATGGATGAATAGGCACTGCTCTGTGTCATGCAGAAAGCAGCACATGTACACATAGCTTCCCTTATCGCTCACCCACAAATACATTGGACTACAACCACCACTATCCCAAACAAGTTAGAGCAATGTCATTGGAGCCAAACGTGCTGGGAGGCACTGGCCTCAGCTCAAGGAAGATGGCTCTGTTCTCTGACAAGAGTTGGGATTGGAGCATAGCTCACAGTTGCCATAGGCGTGTCACCAGAATATCCCCTCCTCTTACTGAAACAAAGTAGGTAAACTGCTTTCTAAGAGATGTTATTTTGGCAGGAAAACAGTATAGCTCTCCTTAAGGGAAGGTTTATTTTACAAATAAAATATTATCTGATCTTTGCCTTGCTTCCTGACCATACCCCATTCCCCCTTTCTCTCATCACATGATCTCCACTGTGACTGTAATCAGTACGAGGAGGTACCCTATTCTTGGAATGTAGGAGAGTCACAGGGTACTATACTGGCTCTGGTCTATAAAGTCAGTACTCCTACAGGTTACAACTAGTTAATGATGATGATCAAGTACTAGGACTCTTTGATGATATTTCCATGGCAGTGGCAGCATGCCCTAGATCCAAGTTTAGATGCAGGGAAACACAAACAGCTTACAGCCCATGAAGTCTGGTACAAAAATACAAAAACAGCTAAAGAACTTAGAGTGCATACCTTCAAGACACAGGTTGGTATTAAAAACCCTACTGATCAAAATGTGCACATTCATTTTAATCTTCTTGTTATGGATTCCTTTCTCAAAGAAGAAAAGTGCTCATCTATTTTAAGGCAGGCAATGGAAAAAGCTTTGTCCACAGTACTTCTGATATTTACTGAGGAGCGTGGATACATATGCAGCCAAAGTAGCATCACCCATGCCCAGAAGGGACATTTCAGAAAGCTGGGTAGGATTCTGAGCTTTGTGGAAGCACTCCATGTCCAATAGGATCAGAAAAATCCTGGAATTCCATTCCCACATATCCTCATGAGGACGGAATACACTCAGTGGATAGGAATAATGGCTGCCCGGCAGAAGGAAGGAGGAACGGGATGGCTCATCTTGAAAGAAGACTTAGCTGGTTGACCCCTAGCCAGGAATATTCTAGAAAGCCACATTTGGTTGCAGCTCCAGCTTGTTCTTCCATAAATTCAAGCCATATGAAAGTAGAGTTCCATCTCCCAGTTAGAATTCTAGCTCTTCTACCAGTTGGTCAACCTTCTTGTAATGGAGCAGCCTGTAATTTCTTTCCAGGTCTCATGAGCAGTCAGACTATTGCCAGATTATTCTTCTCCCCCCACCCCAGCAAAATGTCACCTGTTATTGATATGTAGATTAACCCACATACAAAGCATTGCTCCTCCAGAACATCTGGCATCTATTCAGGGCAAGCTGCTGCTCTCCTAATCCTTGTTAACAAGTAACTATTGTGGGTCTACTACACTCTCAGGGCAGGCAGGCTGTTCCACCATGGACAAATCTAGAACCTGCCTGAGATTACAGAGTGATGTGGGGGAGGCACTTCCAGCCAATTGCAAATTACATTCCTGATCTTTCCTGGCTCAGAGAGACTGGAGGGGGCGTTGTATCAGCTGTTCATTGACAAGCAATAATTCACAGAGAAATTATTCAGCTGCAGAGAAATTGTGTTTGAAGACTGTCCAGACTGGTTGGCCTTTGGCCAAGGAGAACAGATTTCAGATCCTACACAGTCTTCTCTCTTAAAATAACAAGCAGCCTACTTTCTCTTTGAGAGAGACAGCTTATCTGAGGGATAGGCAGTGCATTGCACACACAAGCAATCTGCCCCTTTGTAAGTTCTGCTCTTTTGCTCCATAGAGATTTTCTTCTCTCAAGACACTGGCAGAGGGAATATTGTATACAATACCTGAAAAAAATGGACAGTCCACATTTGCCAGCTCACTGACTGGGATTTGAAGAGTGTTTCTGGGGACATGAGATGGACCTTCTTCAGAGTCATTCATCAAGACAAGATTCAAATGGTTTATACTATAGCCGACTTTGTGAAAGCCACATATACAGTATGAATAGAAAGTTCCCAGAATAACCAAATTATTTTACTTTGGTGGTAGCATCATCATTTCATTTGGTTTACTTATTTTATTTTTTGCTCTGTTTCAAGGGCCTGCAGAATGTAAGATGTTCTTTTGTCTTTCGTTTCATGACAGGAAAGCAGATGGCCTGAATGTCTGTGCAGTCCTGTATGTGTCCACTTAGAAAGTTCCACTGAATTTTATTAGGCTCACTCCCATGTAAGTCCAGGATAGATGTTTGCCATAAAAACAGGCAAATGGCACTTTCCACACAGCAAGATCAACCTGAAGCTGACAGAAAGGAGCTTGTGCATTCAAAGAAAACAGGTGGCCCACAGTTAGTTGCAGAGGAAAGAAAGGCTCAGGAGATTCATAACATAGAATACAAACGGATGCTCAGTGTAGCTGCTATATAGTCTGGGCGGGGAGCTGAATTACAATTCCTAGCAGCTCCTGCCCACATGGCCAATAAACTGGGATGCTGGGAGATATAGTTTAGCAACATCTGGAAACTCTAGTTTCCCCATTCCTGGCAACTGATGTTTGGTGCATGAAATAGGCAATTCCTTATTGGGGGGGGGGGGATTGCTTTGTCTAACGCTGTTGGGGATTTT